GTTATGATGATGATGATGATGATGATGATGATGATGATCACCATCATTATTACCATTATTATTGTTAGTCACACACGTTTTTGTTATCGCTACATCGATACTCTTTACTTTTTGCTTGATGGCAATATTGCTCACACTGCTCTGTCGTAAGTTTTTTTTTCAATTATTTTTTTGTTAATTTATATCTCTCGTTTGCTCACAGTTATAGCTGTGGAGACCCTTCAATTTCTTTATAAATCTATTTGCCTTTTTTTCTTCTCTCTCCATCGTTATCATTACTTATCAGTGTTCGGCGTATCAAACCATTAAAAATTTGGTGTAAAAATTGACAACACAAAAAATTCGGCCTTTAGTATAATATTATTTTATAGAAAAAAAATGAACGCCTCCCTTCCACCCCTCTCAACCATTAAAAGAAATCCTTCTGACACAACACCTGAGGAAATACAATATACATAATAATACAAATTATGTATTTAAGCTGAATGTGTAACCCCAAAAAAAGTACATAACAAAACCGAAGTTTTACTTCTCTTTTCATATTGAATTTTAAATCGAGTAATATATATAATTAAATTTTTTAAATGTATACCTGCATGTGTTTTTACGGTCCTGAACAGCCAAGGAAAATTTCCCTCTGGGATAAAGAAGCACTGTCTTATCTTATCTTATCTTATCTTATCTTGTCTTATCTTATTTACCAAATTATTTTTTATTGTTATTTTGTAACTGACGAAAAGATATATTACTTTGTAGTAATGGGAGATTTCTTCCAGGCATTTACTAAGTAATTCTATTTCTTAAATTTCTCTTTAATTTATTTGTCTATCTCTGAAGTATCATCTCAAAGATAATTGTGAGACAGCGTGGTGGAATCAGGCTCTCGTCAATTTTTCAGCATGTAGAGTTATTGGTATCATCTTAAAGCTTGTTCACTTGTCTTTGTTAGGATGAAAATAATAGCCATTTATCTTGAATACAAGTCGAGATATTTGCAAAAGAAGGAGGTGGGGGTCACCCGTTTTCAGAGGTAAAATAAGTGAGAAAATGGCCGCCAAAAATTGGTTATTTCCTTAGCTTAAGAGTTCGTGGAAACTGAAAATTTACTTTTTTTGTGCCTTTAATCAACGTTTTTCAGAATAATCCACACACAAATTAGTTCTTTAATATGTATGAAAGGTGTTGAGCCAAAAAACAAAAATGTAACAAAAATTCACCACCCTGTGGAAAAATGCAAGTTTCTTCACTTTAATTATTTTGACGAGAGCCTGATTCCACCACGCTGCCTCATATATCTTCTCTTATTTAATTTTTCACGAATTTTTTCTTTTCATTCACATGGAGGTTCAAAAGTTGGTTTACAGTAAGCATCACATCAATTATATAATAATTATGTACTTGATTGATTTAAATAATAGGAGAAAACTTACTAGTGGTGACGAT